ATGAATTCCGTCAGAATGACAATCAATGACGTAGCGTTGCAACATTCTCTCTCGAGTTAAGAAAGCACGTATGGAGATTTTTCAAGCGACTCGGTGAATTTCGAATTCAGGTCGACGAGCGTCATAAAAGAGGAGAAAAGAAAAAAATTGATTTAAAATGGAAATAGGTTAAAATGAATTTTCTTAGGTGATTAATCTTGTTACGTACGATGCATTGTCCACATTCTCGTACGCGGAGTTAAACGCGTCGCGACCGGGAAAAGATTTCACTTTATCTCGAATTTACAATCGCGAGTCGTGAATCTACGGGCTAGATAAGGGGACGATGCGTGGATCTCATTGCTGATACGTTCAATGAAAGACTCGGAGAAACGTGTTAAGTCGAAGCTAGTGAGGTGCTATTTACGAAGAATTTTTCTTCTTTTAATACTCGTGATGACAGATAAAGATGGGCGAATCGAGGTAATGCAAAATCCAGAGAAATATAATGATAAGAATATTAACTTTGTACTTTAAGGAAGTCACGTTATCTCTCTCGTTGTTAAATATCCCGGGACATTTATCAAAGCAACAGTAGTAAAATTAATAATTAAAAAACTACGATATTTTAATAACTCCACGCTATTAAACTGATATTCGCGGCACGATGAGTGTCAAGTAGTCATAAATCTTTTACTACTTTTACTACGAGACCTGTTGATTTTATCGTTAAAGCATATTGTGAATACATCGTAACACTCTCGCTTTATTTACTAGCATAATTATCATTAAATATCTAAAAACGTATGGATAATAAAAAATCGCATTAATTAAGCCGAGTTTGCTATATCCAAATTTTGAGATATACACACGCATATACTAATTTCAGTAATTATTACGTTTGCTACTGCTCTCGCATTCTCCCTTCTTCTAAGTATACCCTGCGATGAAGATAATTGATCACGTAAAAACAGAGAGAGAAAGAAGAAGAAAAAGAAATGGCACTTATCCACGCCGTGCGCGATATCCCCTCGTAAGTGAAACTTGAAAAGATTAGATGTGCCTATTATTTTCATAATTAGCACATTACTTGAAAAATTTGCACTCGATACATTTTTATACAACGTGATAACCAAAGATACTTTCCTTTTATATTTTACGAAATAAGATTTTTATTAATTTTTTTAATTTAAAATTCCTTTTCTCTCTCATTCCTTTCTTTCTTTCTTGAAGTTTGAACTTTGAAATGTCGAGATGTCAAATAATTTTTTAATAAAACTAGCGAGATCCCCTCCCAGCTCTGCTGTTTCCGTTTCTGTACCGGTCGAGCATTTTGCAGATGGCATCTTTGATATCATCGCACAAGGTATTATGAAGATTTACAGTTATTCGAGGAAACGCAGCGACGCGCCGTCGCATTATACAGCCGAGATTCTCCGACTACGGAACCCCCGCAGTGTCATACGCTATCGAGATATCATCGAAGCGCCAAGACGTGCACTACTGATATTCTCTTATCTTTACCAGTGCATCTTTCTATGTCAATCTCCATAATGTAGCATGCAGGACAGCATTAACAGACGCTACTTAACACCGCTATTTGGGGGATTTATGTCAAACCGATCTCCAAGAGTAAAAAAAAAAACAATTTTCAGATCAAAATTTGCATTATGAGTATATTTTTTATCATTTTGGACTATTTTGGAGTTATTAATTTTCATCTATTTGAATAATTTAATAATATGCAACACTAAGTTTCCTTGTGCGCTGATATCATCTAGGAAGGATCTTCATGATACGAGGACCTGACTTCTGTGGCTAACCGCACGAAGGTTGCTCTAAAAAAATGTGACCGCATAGATGAATCAGTGGATCGTGATTCGCATCCTATCGAAAAATGCTGGCAACGAGAAATTGAGACGTGCAATATAAAATCGACTAGTACGCCGGGACTGAAATCAGATTGGAGCGATTGGAGTTAGTGTGCTTGTAAAAGAGGATTGCACTGCATTTTAAATTATATATTATTTGCAAACGAGCACGCGAATGCGAAGGAGTTCGACATTTCTTACTCGAAAATTAGTCCTGAGGGAGTGCCATATATGAAACTAATAATGGGCTCTTTGCTACTATTGATTGATACAATTTTCCCTGGAAAAGATAAAATCTCGTGATCTCTCTATATATAGGTATCGACGAAGATATTTTAACGACGGCTTATCGACGCCTTATTACACAGAATGTTACACGAGCTTGATTATTTTCCCTCGATTTTTCACCATTTTCCAGGAATTTGCATTCCCCGTTTCCCCGTGATTCTCGCAAACGCCCGAAGTCACGGGTTAAATTGAGCAATGCTAAATAATCTGGGACACGTATCACGGCAATTGCTCACGATAATAAGCGCGTCAATTATTTGATCGCAATAAAGACAAGTTGTTATTATTCGAATCCGTGATGAAAATTGGGCCTCCCGCCCAATTAAGATTATCGTGACGTCATAATTTTTTTCCCTTCCATATTGTAAACGCGCATCGTTTCAGAAAATTTAAATTTCATCAGATTATAAAAATAACGTTTCATGAAAACTTGTAAGAATTAAGATAAGCGGTTCATAATTGAAACTGTCCTGACAGCGACTTTAACGGTCGATGGCGAACGGTGCTGTGGTACCCTGTTGCAAATAGCACACCATTAGCCTCCATATGAGACGGGCGTAATGTTATACATTATGCTCTAATGACTACGTGTGGATTGCTGCTGAGCACAAGTACGCGAGTCCGTTGTTCTCTTTTACCCGATCATCATACTAAAGACACAGGTACATAAACCTTTCAAAAGTAGTTCTCAACGTTCAATATAATTTAATTAATATAATAATACGAGGGACGAAATTTTGGAAAGGTCCAACGCTTTCTCAGCAGATCTCCGACGCAAATTCGATTGAAAACATGTTTACAAAATTTAATTTTTTATTTTATTTTTATTTATGAAATGTAAATTCTTCAAAATAATTTCCTTGTCATGTCTCAAAGTTACCTCAAATAAATTCATTTTAAATCTTTTTATTTATTTTATTTTTTTGGTAAAAATTTTTCTCCAAATTTTTTTGAAAGCTGGAAATTACTTGAACTTTCTTGGATATCCGATATATAATTATAATGAACCAATTAAACATGTAAAATGTTATAAAAATTGAGATATATAGGAGACATAAAATAGTCATCTGTTTTCCTCCGTGTTAAAAGATAAGAGCGCCATAACAATTCATCAGACGACGTGAACATAATCGATAATAAAGTACATCCTAACTAAGTAACGAGCAATGAAGACAAATGAGTAACCGCTATCAACCTGCCCGTCCGTGACATGCCTGCGAGGCATCGTCATGGTGCAACTCGCGTTTAATTAAGGCTAACGAGTGACGTAGCGAGCACGTAATTAAGGAGAGCGTAACCGCTAACATTTAACGTTACCGCCTTTTTCTGCAACCATCCAGATTTTTCTGCAAATCGTTCGCTTGTCTAATTAATTTTTTGCTTAATTTAACATTGGCAGCGACTATTGTCACAATGTAACTGGGACTAAGGGAGGTGCACGGGACAGGAAGAAGCCCGTTCTCACTGTCTCACATTTATTATGAGAAATGACGTGAAACATTCTCCCGCCGTTCTTTTTCTTCGTCTCGGCAGGCATCCTCGCGCGATTGCATCTTCCCGTCAACGAGAAACGCACGGATGCGCATGCCAAATCTTCGGAGGGGACGATGACGGGACCCCTCACGTCAACGTCTCTCTCGTTTATGCCCCGCGAAAGCGACGTGACGAGGAGTGAAGTCCCTCCGGGCGATTTCGGAGGGACCGGCTCGTTTTCGCGGCGGCACGCCATCGCCCCTTCTCCTCCTCTCGGCTTCGTCGTCAGGACGTCCTATATAAATTGTCCCACCACATAGGCTACGGGGGGGGGGGGGAGAGAGATTCGGCGCTACGCGAGAGAGCCCCGGCGCAACGATGCATTCCAATGCAAATATCTCTCGCCCTGGGGACGTGGCGTAATCGTCGCAATTTCATGCTTCTCAGAATTTCAACCTGCCCGGTCCTACAGCATCTCCTCCACTATCCTCACTGTAGCCCGATACTCTCTTGCCTCACCCCCGACCGTGTACTTGATAACTCACCCTCGAGTACGCCGGAGCGCCTTAATATTTCATTGCTGATCGGGAAGGAATAACAGAATCGTAAGTGGTTCGTAATGAGGGATATATTTATAGCTTCCTTGGAGTGATGGATGAACCGTGCGATTTTACAAGTCACTTTAAAGTGATATGGTATATCCGTGTTTCTATTCTTCTTATTATTCTTCTCTCCTCTTTTAAAAGAAGAAAATTAGAAATAATAATAACTTCGCTCGCTTGAGAAAGACGCTTGCGCTATGGGATATAAATTATGCAATGAACCAGCAGGAGACTGAGGATATCAAGTTTCGGCTTGTCATCGGATCGGTTTTAGCACCTGTTAACCACTCTGTTTACAATTTACTCGTCAAAAAGTCGAAACAAGGATAAGATGATTGCGAAGTTTTTATATTTCTATTATCTTATTCAAAAACTTTTTAATATAGATTGCCCTATGCAGCCCACATATCGTTTCATCGTTTAATATAAATCTCTGACAATATTAAATATGAAACAATTATCGATCAATTGATATTTATAAGGATACTTTAGAAAATTTTTTCATCTACACAGAATAAAATTAGTCTTAAATCAAGATTATATGTTCTCTATATATGTAAGCAAGAATATTATAATTTTTTAAGAAAATTTTTAATCTGAAGTTAAACAAAAGTAATACTTGCATATACGAATTCAATTAAATAAAAGAAAAATTTGTCAAGAAGATTAATATTTTTTGCTTATATAGAACATTTTTCTTGATTAATTTATTTCTGTGTAATTTGACCTAACGTTTACCTCTCTTCTTTCACTAAGATTTTACGTTACGTGATGGATTTTCTTCCAGGGTGGTCGGCGCGGTGGTGGTCGGCGCGGCTGTCTGCGGCCGCATCCCTGGACTGGCGAAAAGTCAGCGCGAGCAGTGCAGAAAAGCGCCGCACGCGATGCCGGCGGTGGGCGAGGGCGCCGCGCTGGGTCTGCGCGAGTGCCGGCACCAGTTCCGTCACCACCGTTGGAATTGTTCCCACGTGTCCAACGACCAGGTCTTCGGCCATGTGGTGGTAGTGGGTAAGAATTGTTCCGTCGACGGCGCTCGCCGTATTTATTGCGTCGCGTACGCGCTTACGCTCCTTGCGTTTTTTCTGCGCGGGCGAAAGGCTTCCTTGCCTGTGTGGAATGGCGATTAGTGAGACGAAATGCGTAGTTAACGTTCGAAATCAATGGGAAATACTTGTGATAAGTAGATAAAAGATAAAAGTTTGTTAAAGAAACATCGCCATGAATTCCTATTAGATGCTCGCACTTGTAATATTAATAATTTTTTTTCCTATAGATTCTTATAGACTTATTCTTCTTCGTTCTTTTTCTTTTTAAATTTGCAAGATAAAAAAGATTTCTCAAAATTGATTTTTGCTACACTGGACAGTCCTGAATTCCAGTAAAAAAAGAAAATTAAACTTGTTTAATCAAACTGTCATTTGCCAGCCAAAAAAAGCGAAAAGAGTTATATCTCTCACGAGGTATAACGTGTAATTATTTAAAGATACTCTTGATAAATGGCAGGCATCCTTACTCGCTTCTTAAGTTTTGGTGGTCAAAGAAGCGACTTAATATCAAACGACACGCTGCGCGTCGTGGTGGCAAGTCGGCACGATGACAAACGGCGAGAGCGATATTTTTTGAAGACAGGATAATCCCTGGTCCTGTGAGCGGAAGCTGATGTGTGATCCAAAAATATCGTTAAATACGATATATTTGTCATCTCGGCATTAAAAACTATAAACGCGAGTCGAGGGGATAAATGTCCCACGTTGGGGACCTCCTTAGTTATATATAGCGCGTTGCATCTCGAGATCGGAGCTCGTGAATCTTTTAGACATTTTACGGACGAAAGGAAGATATAATTGAGAAAAAAAATTGTATTTAGAAAAAAATCTAAGTGCAATCATAATTTCTCTGAAACTGAAAATATTTTTCGTATCCTTTTCTCCCATTTCTAATAAAGAATCTTGGATGTGAAACATCCTGTATACAAGGAACAGTAGATATAGCAACGTAGATATAGCAGCGCTTCGCAGTGGCGCAAGTCGGCGATTTCTCATGATTAACCGAATGGATTAAACCGCCGAGGTGGAAGAGTCAAAGAAGCTCGATAAACACGATGTGATTTACAACGCGCAACGAGATGTTCGTACTTTGTTACCCGTCATCCTGTTGCCATTGTACGAGGCTCGTTCGTCATCATCGAGAAGCTCGCGGGTGACTTCTGGAATTCCACGCTGAATAAAACGTACATATAATGCATCGTAAAATCCCACAAGAGAGATTGGAAGAGAATATTATGATCGTAGCATACGTATTTGCATACGTCACGAATACGTACGTTAACGTGCGACGTAACGCCAACTAGTTATGAATTTAGTGATGACTATTACATTTTTATTCAAGTCTACCCAACTTCAGAAGGAAGTGCGGAATTTTTATGCATTTATTAAAATTTTCTCCGCGGTGGCATTTGTAAATCGAAAACATTGTAGGCTGTAAAATCGAAGAAAATCTATGTGGAATGTTTTTTGAAAGAGCGAAAACATTTACGGTGACATGGACGCGAAGCGGAGAAGGAAAATAAGCGGCGGCATCGAGGAAGTCGGGCGAGAAATAAGAAGGCCAGAAATTAATACGCAAAAAAGTATAAATAACGTTTATAAGAGACAGTGGAAGAGAGGATGCGAGATGGAACAGGCAGGGCGGTCGGCTGCTAACTTAATTAGTGAAATTAACGGGGCCGCTCGACATGCTAAAGTTAAATGCAGCGAGATATACGCTTTAAAATATTTCCCCGCTCTTAAAACGTTCGTATTATGCGCTCTATATAATCTGCGAATATGCATAAGTGCAAAAGTGGAGTAATGGCGAATGAAACAAAGTGCGATTACTTATACGCTTTGTTTGAAGTCGCACCAATCGAAATTATCAAACTCACAAGCTATGGAATTTTTATTAAAAAAAATAGTCATAAACGAATAAAATAAATGTTTAGTAGTTGTGTACTCAAAGCATAAGGATCTTTGAAAATAATTTTGATTTATGTGCATCGTGGAAGAAGAATACGACGATAAACGCGGGGTTCCAATATCTCCGAGCTATACATAAACTCATGCCGTTTTGTCACCGCCGATAATCCGTATAATCGCGTGTCTTGCGTGTCAAGCGATATAATAAATACGATCGTAATTGAATATAATTGAGCGCATTGATCCCTGTCGATCCGAAAACTCGTTACAGAAGCCGCGACGCTACTCGCAGCCGATCCAAGACTCCGCTGCCCACTCGAATGGTATTCGTGGTGAATACATTTTCATAAATTAGGCAGATTTACTTAAGAGAGACCTTTTTTTTCGAGATCCGAGAAAACGTGGGCGGCGATCGTCTAATCGTTTAAATGAAACGACATAATTAAGAGATCCATTACGTGGACGATGGACCATACATTATCCGTTCGTAAATTTAAGCGAGAACAGGACGACGTTCTTGACCCACCGATGTCATCGCGAGAAATTACGTACGGATTCCGCTCGTTTCTCTCTCTCTCTCTCTACTCGTACTCTCTCTCTCTCTCTCTCTCTCTCTCTCTCTCTCTCTCTCTCTCTCTCTCTCTCTCTCTCTCTCTCTCTCTCTCTTTGTTTTGTCTCCTTTTTTTTCCTCTCATTTACTCCTCCGATAATAAAGAATTGATCCTCTCAGCCATCTATTGCGATCTTCCAAAAATCGCGCCGAGTCGTTTCGTCACGTTATCACCCTTGTTAGCGAGTGACTCCATGCGGATACATGCCGTTCGCCAGAGGGCTAATATTATCCCGCGCGCGACAAGGTAATTCGGACAGCACAGCAAACGAGCGATAAGCGAAGGGGAATAAGGCTCGAGTGACAAAGAGAGCGCGAGGGAGACTTGGTGCTCGCGCGAGAAACACCGAACGCGTCCTCCTCTGCCTCTCTATCAACCCTTGGATAACACACCCATCGGACGAAGATACCACATTAATGTAGCGTCCTATCAATTTCTGTTGCACCTTCCCCTCCCGCCCTCGTCCTTCCGTACACTTATATCCGCTCTCCGCACTCGCGCTTGTACGCGTCTTTTTTTTATTTCCTTTCTCTCTCTCTCTCTCTCTTTTTACCGAGTTCTTATCCGTCTCAAATAACTGGACTGGCCCACACTCGGCGCTCTGGCATGGACACACCTACCTACCTGCGTCTACCTGCCTTTACCTGTCTTTACCTGCCTGCTCGCTCGCCTGCCTGCCTGCCTGCCTGCCTGCCTGCCTGCCTACCTGCTTACATGCCTGCCTGCCGGCCTGCGGTTCCTCCCCTGGTGCACACAGTCGACGCATTCATTCTTCTGTTCCGCGTCGATGTATACTCATATTGAGCTATATCGCGCTGATGACCGTGCGAAATGGCGCACGCACACCGGATCCGACATACGTACGCGCGTACATAACAAGATAACGACGGCGCGACGATTCCCCTCTTTACCTTGAACAGAAGGAACGAAAAGATGTTCGAAAATCGAAGTCAATCTTATTTTTACGCCCCATCCCGAAGAATACTCGCTTATCTAGTTAGATTAGATAAGCGCGCGCGTATCTATACAGGAAGCAATCGGGAGAGGAGTCACTCTCGGGAATTTATAGTCGATACTTTGTTGCCGCGGCATTTCTGGTAAGATAAGATCTCTTCTTCATTCTACATTCGCGGAATTGGTATGCATTTGAAGGGAATTACGTATTGTTTAAATAATCACAATAATTGCGATCGATTGCGCGATTAGATGTTTAGATTAAATTCTTTTAAAAGACGCCGCGATATAATATTCGCTGTCGTCGGAGCAATTTCGCTCGTAAATGTATTTTGCAATGGTCATTGCTGGGATGCTATCGGATATTATCTTGTAGAAAGATGCGAGATGAATTTCTATGCGCGACTAAATGAGAGTCGTCCCCACCCCACTTACTCGCTATTATCCGATCTAGTGCTCGGCGTTGATTTACCTGCCGAAGGCGAGGGAGCGAAGATACGGCGGGATGACGAACGGGATCGATATAATTCAGCGTATTTTAGTGTAGAAAAGTGCCAGCGGCAACCGGCACGGCGGATCCCGGTATGGATTGAGTTATGGACCGGTACGCTGGGGTGCTCGCTCTCGAGTCCCCAGGGGCTCTCACCGTCTGTGGATATAAGGCCTCTTTAAACCCCGTATAAAAATAAACTAGTTAATAAATTAATATATCGCCGGCGCGTATCTCTTTTCCCTTCTTGGCCGCTGCTGTGGACAAGTGCCTCTGCGAAAATCGCCAACGAGTCGACCAGGGCCATTAATAATGATGTGCGAGTTGAAAGAGAGAGTGAGTTGAAAGAGAGAGAAAGAGCGAGAGAGTGAAAGAGAAGGGGAGAGACGAAGGGAGGAAAAAAGACAGAGAGAGCAAGGCGATGAACTCGCACAGATTGTCGCTGCTGCCCTTCTTATTAAGATGTAACCAGCCATGGAGAACGGTATACGATAAGTACCTTCCCAGAAAACGCTCGAAGAGAGAGAGAGAGAGAGGTGGTTGTAAGATATTTTTTTTCCATTCCTCCGATAACAAGTGCTCGATCTTCGCGAGTTTCGTGCGGTTTGTAATAACAAGCGTGATGATACCTCGTTCGCATTTGTCACGCGTGAGTAATTCTATGCGCGAGTCTGCAGCTTCGAAGCGAAAAGAATTTTTCAACCCTTAACTCCGTCGTGATAAATCGTCTGCCTAACTCCCTCGCGATAATCAACTGTTAAATTCATTGCTATTTTCTATACTCAATTTTACTTGGAGAGAAAATTTTTTTTTTCTTTTGATCTCAATTTCCAAATGCTTGATTCAGATCAAACGGAATATCAAGCGGAGAACTTATTAAATCCGTATCTTACTTTTCTTTTCTTCATATCAGAAGTTGTTAATTGCTTGTCATATTTCTTTTTTTTTTTTTTGTCAAATTAATCGTCATGCTAATTTCATCAATTTGAAAAATGTAAA